TATATATATATATATATGTATTTTGTAACAAATATTTTTAGGGGGAGATAATAATGGTTAAGTGATACAATTCTTACTAATTAACCCTTAACTGGGGGAGAGAAGAGTTGGATTCATACCTTTCGTAAGTTAATATGACAAACCCAAAATAGAAATTGAAATTCGGCAACAATTCAATTCCAAGGCATAATCCCTTGCACCACCATCATATCCAAGCTTACAGCACCATGTATTCCCATCCAAAGCTAATACACACACACACACACACACACACACATGCATACACGCGCACACACACGCACACGCACACATACACACACACACACACGCACATGCACACGCGCGCACGCACACACACACACACATATATATATATATATATATATATATATATATATATATATATATGTATATATTCTCAGATTAACCTGGAGAAAAAAGTAAAAAAGACAATATGTATAACGGTAAAAGACAATAGGAAAACTGTATTATTAACTGACGCGTTTCGTCCAATATGGACTTTTCATGGGAAAAACGAAATGAATTTATTGAAAACAAGTTGACTATTAACAACAAACAAAATGTTCTTAGCAACAATAAGAATTTGGAAAACGCTATTGTATCCATATTTTAATTTTCAGTTGACGATATGAATTGAATAGCGTTTTGTAAATTCTTCTAGTTGTTAAGGACATTTTGTTTGTTGTTAGTAGTTACTTTTTATCAATAAATTCATTTCGTTTTTGCCTTGAAAAAGTCCACATTGGACGAAACACGTCGGCTAATAATACAGTTTTCCTATTGTCTTTTTAAATGCACACACACACACACACACACACACACATATATATATATATATATATAAACTTTCGGTTATATACATACGCGTCATTATATCTGTACGTAAATGCATTTGCATATGATTTGTGCGCATAAATTTCATATGACAGCAACATATGCGCACATATAAATATTCATGATGGTTATTTAAAATTCGTTTTAATGCCTAAATTATTCCAGTTGTTTTGTCGACGTTCGATACTTACGAACGAATAGACTGTTGTCTCTAGAAAAAAAATCATTTATTGTATAACAAACATTTCCAGCATGTTCAGAAATAGTAATAATCAGGTTAGTTCATCAAATAACAGAAAGATGGAAGATCTAAAGTAACATGAGATACGCTGTGCCAAGTTTAGCTAATGTTCATTAGATTTTTACATTTCAACATTATGTTATTTAAGTTTGGATTTTTTTTTATTACGCACACAGTGAGGATTAAAATCTCTGTTCATTTTCTACATGGCCATTATTCCCCAGGGAAAGACTTGACATATGCCAAGTGTTTGAACTGTTGGGTGAACATGAGTAGCATGAAGAATACATAGATCTAACCTATTCTTCTTGATTGGTGGCGGGGAGAATACCGACTTGAACATTTGAGAAATCTCATTAAAGAAAATGCGTAGATGAGTGGTCAAAGCGCGTCGGACTTTCTTTAAGATGATTTCTCGAATGTTCAGGACGGTAGATGAAATAAAATAGAGATTAACAAAAATAAACGAGTCGTCTACTTAAATATGGGTATCCACTAAAAATAACATTTTCAGGCCGGTAGAGGGAAATCATTTTCTAATAAATAGTAACAGAACATCTACTCAAATATGTGTAACCACTCAAATAGCGTTTAAACAACAACAACAATATATATATATATATATATATATATATATATATATATAAAAAAATGACAATAAGAAAACTGGTAATTGTTGACGCGTTTCGTCCAATGTGGACTTTATCAAAGCAAAATACGTATTTTCGTATTTTGCTTTGATAAAGTCCACATTGGACGAAACGCGTCAGCAATTACCAGTTTTCCTATTGTCATTTTTATTCATAAATATTGTCTTCTCTACTGGTTAAATCGGAGAAATTTTCACACACACACACACACACACACACACACACACACACACACACACACACACACACACACACACACACACACACACACACACACACACACACACACAAACATATAAATAATAAAAACAGAACATCTACTCATATATGTGTAACCACACTATTTGAGTAGATGTTCTGTGTTTATTTATTAGAAAATTATTTCCCTCTACCGGCCTGAAAATGTTATTTTTAGTGGATACCCATATTTAAGTAGACGACTCGTACATATATATATATATATATATATATATATATATATATATATATGCATAACATGTAAGGAGAACGAAAATGATATAAAGTCTAATGTTTTTAAGCATTAATTCAAAACACGGCGAAAAAGCAAGAGTAGAGCAATAATTATTTATTATGGATTTTTACATGCGGACAAAAGCAATTACCCACTACAAAAATGAATTCTTGTTTCGATGCATTATGTGCATCTCAACTGGTGAGAATCAAAATAGTTATAGACAATTCTATTCAAAAACAACCCACCAATAATACGTCACTTAGAGTAATTGCTTTTGTCCGCATGTAGAAATCATATGTCTCTCTCTCTCTCTCTTTCTCTCTCTCTCTCTCTATATATATATATATATATATATATATATTAAAAGGAAAGGAGAAACCGAAAACGTTTTTGTTTGTAGTGTGAATTTTTTTAAACAAAAAAAAAATATATTGTGCTTTACTTTCCATAATTTTGCAACACGTGTTTCGGGTCGCGTGACATTCTTCAGGCAAAGATGGATATTTCCACATATTATTAAAAAGAATTAATTTTCCTTATGTTTCTCGATGTTAAACATTCTCTTTTTTTGTGTGTGGTAGTGACACAAATGTCTTTCTTGAACTGGCGTGAAAGTTCTTTCTCCCTGCTGGTTCAAGAAAGGCATTTGTTTATAATAAATAAATAAGAAAAACAACTTAAATAAATTAATCCAAATAAATAAATAAACAAATTTACAAACTGCTCCCGCTAAAATAACTTATTATTTTACTTGTTTTTGTTTATTTATTTTTTATTTATTTTAATGAAAAAAAAAAGCAAAAACAAGTAAAATAATCAATCCAAATAAATAAATAATTTAATAAACAAATTCAAAAACTGGCCTCACCAAAATAACAGAATAGAATAGACTACAGCAATCAAATCAAATATTGGACGAAAAATAGCTTTAATTGCCTTCCCAGACCAAACAAAACTATTAAATAAACGATTCAAAAAGATATTAAACATTTTTACTACAATGCTAAAACATGGAAAACCGAAACGAATGAATAAATATATAAAATAAAATTAAATAAAAAACAAGAAAAATAAATTAAGCCAAATAAATAAATAGATAAACAAAACACTCCCGGCGAAATAACCCTCAGAATGGACTACCCACAATGCACCACTAAACCGTATATATAAATAGTCGAGAAAAATACTAAACACACGCGGCCTAATGATCGTGTCTAGTTTGAAACAGCTTGTCGCCTCAGGGTGTTGACTTCAATGTTCATATATATATATATATATATATATATATATATATATATATATATATATATATAATGTTTAAAGCATTTTCTTAATTTTGACAATAATAAAAAAATCATGATTACAATTTAAGTGGCATCCTCAGCTCTAAGGACTCAGTAATCAAAAATTGCGTATTTGCTTTTGAGTTGTTAAAAGTAAAATACATATTGTGAAAATAATCTTAAATTAAACGAATATCTATGACTCTATCTATCTACCTGGAGAAAAAATATAGAGTTGTTTGTTTGAAAATTACTTACACGTATAGATAGAAAAGGCTGACTCAAATATTATGCTTTTTACATACACCTACATATATTTATTTAGAGATTTATGTGTTTATATCTACAAAAATTATATTCCTGATACTAAACACATGAAATATATATATATATGTGTGTTTTTGTGAGTGTGAGTGAGTGTATGTGTGAGTGAGTGAGTGTGAGTGAGTGTGTGTGTGTGTGTGTGAGTGTGAGTGAGTGTGTGTGTGTGTGTGTGAGTGTGTGTGTGTGTGGACTGGTCTATTTATCTTATTCATATATATATGTGGAAGGGTAACTTCTGTAGATATAAAACGTATAAATCTCTCACTATATATATATATATATATATATATATATATATATATATATATATATATATATATTCACAATGTCTCTCTGTGTTTGTAGAATACGAGATGAAAAACAGGATATGCATAGATTGATGGATAGATAAATATGACCAAACTGAAATAAATTGTTATATATGAACAGAATGAAATAGAGAGGTAGATAGGTGCTAAAATTTAATATAGTTTAAAAAATATCATTTGCTAGTTCACTTGTATTTTCATTTTCGAAAGAAGGTTATGATTTATCAAGTTATATTTATGTGATAAAATATTGATCGTTATTTAATTTTGGCGTTGTAGAACCAGAAATTTCTCAATTAATTATACATTTCTACCGATATAAGATCTTTTAATATTGAACGATTTAATTCCCATTCTGTATATATAAGGCCATCAAAGGTTGGTTGTCGAAATCTAAAGAGATTTTGTTTTCTGCTCAACACTCAACTGTATCATACTTACTTCTTATAGATGAAGCGAAAATACACTTATCACATATTAGACACTGCGTGGGTGGGGCGATTAATATTAGCGGTTATCAGGATTTTTAACCTTATACACTTAGGTGGGTACGGAAGACGTTTATTTTTTTTGAGGATGTTTTCCGTGTTAAAAATTTGTAAAATTTCTCCGTTAATAATTTTCGCTTTTTTTAAAAAAAAAAAGAAAATCAGTTACTTTCAGACTTCATTTTTTTATAACGCTTCCTCGGTTATTGCCCATTAGGAAAAAGATTAATAAATTCCCTGTTTATTAAGAACCTAAAAAAAATCTTAGCCCATCATCGCATTTTTCGAAGGTTTAAAAATAGAGAAAGATCATATCTATCTATCTATCTATCTATCTATCTATCTATCTATCTCTATATATATACTGTCCCACTGAAAGTGTATTGGGATAGCAAAGCCAGTTCCTTTGTTTTTGTTGTTGTTCACTGAAGACATGAAGACATTTGGGTTACAGATCAAAAGATGAATATGTTACAAGAGTTAAGAATTTCAGCTTTTATTTCCTGGTATTAACATTTATATAAGTTAAACAGCTTAGTACATGTCACCTTTTGTATCAGATCACCCATTTTTAGGTGAGCAATCGCATAAGTACAGACAGTCTTAAAGTAAATAACATTTAATTTTGATTGCATAACCCTTACTTGCAATAAATTCATCAAGCCTGCGACCCACCCACTTCAACAAACTGTTACATCTTTCATTTCTGATGCTTTACCAAACGTTTAATTCAACCCTTTTGGTTTTTGTTTGGGTGGTTTCTTCCATCAGCCTACTCTTCAGGATTTGAAATGCAATGCTCTACGTTCTTGTGATTGACATGGCCGATCAAAGATTGTCCTCTTTTTCTTCTGGTGAAGTCGCTTGTTATGGTTGCAGTTTGGTTTTGGTCATTGTCTTGCTGCATTATAAACCTCCTCCCGATTAGTTAGGATGCATTTCTCTGTAAATTGGCAGACAAAATGTTTCTGTAGACTTCTGAATACATTCTGCTGCTACCATCTTGAGTTACATCATCAATAAATTTGAATACGACTGTCCTAGAAGCGTCCATGCAAGCCCAAGCCAAGACACTGCCTCCACCATGCCCCTCAGGTGAGCTTGTTTGCTTTGGGTAATAAGCAGATCCTTTCCTTCTCCACACTTTCGTCTTTTCATCACTTCGGTAGAGATTATTCTTGGTCTCATCAGTCCATAAAACTTTCTTCCAGAACTTTTGTCGCTCATCTCTGTATTTCCTTGCAATTTCCAATCTGACTTCCGGTTTCTTACTGCTGATGAGTGCTTTTCATCTTGTGGTATGTCCTTTATATTTCTGATTTCAAAGTCTTCTTCAAACGGTGGATTGTGTAGACTTCAACCTTTATCTATGGAGTCTTTTGGTGATGTCACTAACAGTTATTTTGGGTTTTTTATCTCACAGCTCTTACAATGTTCTTGTCATCAACTGCTGTTATTTTCCTTGGCCGACCTGTTCTATGTCTGTTATTCAGTACACCAGTATTTTCTTTTTCAGATTTAAAATTATTATGTTGGCTATTTTCCTTCTTTTCTCAACTACAAAATGACTTACTTTTCTCCCATAGACTGCTCTCTCATCTTTATATTCCTTTATCATTTTTAACAAGAAATGCAATCTTTACAGTTGAAACCCAAGGATAAAACAAAGAATAATCATTCAGTGCTATTCAATATTTAAAATATCAATCCGAAAGCAACATCTGAACAACAAGCAACACCTTTCAAACACATGTTCCAGTAATTTTGCTCACTTGAAAAATGGGTGGGTTCAGACAAAAGGTGGTATCTCCTAAGTTGTTTAACACGTCTAAATTTAAATCTCAGGAAATAAAAGCTAAAATTCTGATTCGTCTTTTGATATTAAACCTAAATGTCTTTAGTAAACAAGAAAAATCAAAAAAATTGGCCTTTCTGTTCCAACACTTTGGGAGAGGACTTCATTTATGGTATCTCAAAATATGTCTGCATATTTCGAAGCTTTTTCAAGAAGTAATTGAATAAACTAAATTAAGTAATGTATAAGAAGACAATATTTATTATAAATGCATATTCTTAAGAATTTGTCATCGCATGTTTTCAAATTGATGTCTGTTTTGCTCCAATCATTGCTGGCATAGGAAAATCAAACATGAAGCAAACATGCCGGTAGCTATTTGGAAGGATTCTTGCTCTATGGAATCATAAATTTCAGCGATTTTTGCTGGGTGTGTTGCGTAGGCTTTATCTTTTAAGTATAAGGAACCCTACAAGAAGTCGTCAAAATTGTCGAAGTCCGGCGACGAGGAAGATATTATAGACTGTAAAAGTGTGTATACTTTTTGAGATACCCTATATATATATATATATATATATATATATATATATATATATATATATATAATTAATATATATGCATATAAATATATATATATACATATAAATATATATATAGATATATATATGTATATATATATAATTAATATATATATATATATATATGATGAATATGTTTAAGTGTTTTTTTTATTCTAACTTGAGTCAAATAATTTTAAATAAGTTTTAACATTGATAGAAAACCGTTTTGATCATATAAAGTAATTATAAATGTTCAAGTTTTATACGATTATGATTGCCAAAAGCTACAAGTGATAAGAAGTTGTGGAGTGCCATGATTGCCCACGCCCTCTAGACACGGACATAAAAAAGAAGAATATGATTAACAACCTTAATCTCAACGCAAAATCATAAGTAAAGAATCGCTGTTGATTCCAGTAAAGAAGGGAAAATTCTAGAAGCAAAGGGAAAAAAATCACATGCCTAACGAGATCCCACTGGTAAGTTAACAACGAATTTTAATTCGCTATATATTTTATATGAAGTCGTTTGTGGATGAGTATACAAACGAGATCTCTGGCATGAATTATCGAACAAGCGAGATCTGCCGCGAGAAATTACTCACAAATATAACAATGCAGTCGATATTTTTTATTATTATTATTTTTGTGTCTGCGTTTCTGAACTTGTACATTCAGTAGCTTATATGAAGTGTCAAAAGCCAGTAGTAGACACGAAACATTGTTGAATATCTGATATTTTCTTTTTTTTTTAAATATGTATTTTATGTTCTCACCAAACTGTGGATGGAAAAAAAACTGACTGGTAAATGTGGTTGTTTATTTTAGAAATGCGTATCATCGTGGGGCTCATAAGAACTCTCTAAGACAGATTCGATTGTTGGTATAAAAATGACAAATATATGAATAACATGCCCAACCATATATTCTGTTCACGCTTACAATCATTTCTTCTCTATTGAATTGATATGCATGCTACCAAATGATGACCATATATGTTTGTTCCTTGGACGTAATACAAGACATTCGAATGAAAAATTCAGATTCCTTTGTAACGAAATCAGCGAATTTACGTAGATGATCTGGACATTTAGAGAGATTTATTAAAAACCCTTGTCAAAGTAAGAACTGTTCTATTTTTTGTCTTTATGGTTTTCGTTTCTTTTTAAAAGAGAGTTGTTTCGGGGAACAATGTAAAATCGTAGTAATGGAGTCACGCATGCGCAGAAGATGACAGAAAGTCGCCCTGTGATACGTAAGACTGAATCGAACGTTGCAGGCAATGGCAAAAATGCTGAATTATTTTTTTTGTTAAGAAATAAAGAAAAGAATATATGGTCGGTTTAAAGAGAAAAAAACTTTTTTCGACATAGATATGAACATATACATATAATCTTACATAACTAAATGTAAGAACACCCATTCGTTCACAGAGACACAGAAAGGAAATATCCAGCTGCCATGTTACATAAAAACCTATACTAAACATATTACAACAAAGAAAATAATTACACACACACACACACACACACACACACACACACACACACACACACACACACACACATATATATATATATATATATATATATATATAGTGTAACCCGGATATAAGAGACCCGGATATAATAGAAACCCGGATATAAGAGAAACGCGGATATAAGAGAGATTTTATCTGGTCCCAAATTAAAGCCTGTGTTAATGTATATAAAATAGACCAAACCCAGATATAAGAGAAATCCGGATATAAGAGACTTCTCCGGTCCCGACAACTCTCTTATATCCGGGTTACACTGTATATATAATATATATATATATATATATATAAGTATTAGTACATATACGTGTACCTACGTTTGGTATGCGACAAAAGTTTTGCTGGATTAACAGCTCGTCGTGCACAAGATTTATGGTGTTAAATCTTTTGACAACATACATCTTTTGCCCGAGGAGCTGGTCATCTAGCGAAACTTTAGTCGCACACGAAAACTTAGGTACACGTACATGTACTAATTAACATATATCTTTGCTCTGTATAAGCACATCGAGCACTATCATGTTTACACCTTATGTATACATTTGACGATTATTTGTTTCCCGCGTATGCACAACAGCACGCGCGTATACCATTCCTTATATCTAGCCGTTTGATATATATATATATATATATATATATATATATATATATATATATATATATATTGTATATTTAGGCAGCAATCCTTCCTTTATACATGTTTCCTTAAAAACGACAGACAAGGTATTACGGTTGAGCTTTTTATTTAATTTTTCTTGTGTTCTGACAAAAGCTTTCTTTTCTGGACAAAGAGTGTGTAAGAACTGTCCGAATATTTTATATTTCCGAGCTCTTAACAATATTATCTACGAACAATTACGTTAATTAATACGTTAACGTTAATACGTTAATTTTAAATTTAAACTTTAATTCGTTAACGTTAACGGTAATACGTTAATTTTCTTAACTCTTAAAAATATTAACTACGAACAAAGCCACAATGTGCTAACCGTATTCGGAAATTAAAACCATCCCTACCACACACCGATACATACACAGAACGCACACGCTCAACTCAGCTGAAAATCGAATCATCCTTGATAATGGCCAAAAGCGCTCGGAAATATAAAACATTCTGCATACCTTGCAATATAAGAAGGAGATAACGATATATATATATATATATATATATATATATATATATATATATACAGTGTGGGGAAACAAATATTCGTACAGATAGATATTTTTAATTTTTTATATTTCCAACTAACGAATAAACATACTTTTCATATAATTAACTATACACAGATGCATAATAACTAAATATGTATAGAAAAATAAAACTTGATTTAATAGAAATAAATCCTATAAATCCATTTTAATGGTTAAAAAAAAGTATTCGTACAATGCAAATTTAAGATTTTTTAAATTGATTTAATACTCTAGATTATTAAAGTGGAATGTTATATAACATTTCAATAATGTTATCAGTAGCTATTTTTA